CCTAGCCTATAGTGACTCAAACTGGGGCACAAGTTCTGATGCCAAGTCAACCACTGGCTATGTGATTTTTGTACATGGGTCTTTAGTCATTTGGAAGGCTGTTAAGCAGGGTTATGTTTCAACCAGCACCTGTTAAAGCGAATATGCAGCCTTGAATGACTGTGCCATACAACTAGAATGGCTAAATCAATTATTGCTGGATTTCAATGTACATCATGAAATGCCTATGATTGTGTATTGTGACAATACAGCAGCTGAAATGTTGGCGGATGCACAGGGTATTAGACCTAGATCTCGCCATATCAACATAAGATATCAGAATGTGAGAGACATTGTACAGAGGAAATTGATAAATATCAAACATTGTATGTCAACTGTGAATGTCGCTGATATGTTTACCAAAGGTTTAAATGAGATGCAGTTTTTAAACCTTAGGGGGAGACTCAACATGATCCTTCCTACTGCAGCTTAAGGGAGAGTGTTGGAAGTTAATCTGACAGCAGGAAGATCATTAGGATCTAACTGACAGTTCAGTGACAGCTACATGTCAGCAGGTGGACTGATAAGCCTGTTCTAACCGGTTACGGCTGGCACTGGACAGTGTGCAGTCACCATGACTCAGCTTGTTGCTGATTGGTGCTGCTATGTATATAAGTCTGTACAGAAGCCATGTACGTTCTCTTCGGAGGTAACAAGTGTCTGGCGAAGCATTTTGATTGTATATTCTGTGAATAAACCCTTGTATATAGTGTACCACTGGACTGTGCAGTGTGGTTACTATAGAGGGGCAGAACAGCAAAGAACTGGTAAGAGCTGGGAGGCTGGAAAGTCTGCTAAGGTGCTGAGTTGGCTTAGACTGGTCTGTGGACCGCTACACACGCTCTGCGCAACAGAGGAAGACCCTGCAGAGGGCAGCAAGAAGACAATTAGACAGGATAGTGAGGACAGCACCTTCCCTCTCCTGTTAAGTGCCATTCCTTGTCTGTCTCCAGACTGCTACTCTTCGGGCAATCCACCCCCTCCTTCTCAGAAGTGCCACACTCAGTCTTAACCTCTCTCTCAGCTAGAAATGTAGCTAGGAGCCTGTCTCTCCTCTTTCCTATCAAGTATGTAAATTCCTAGATAAACCTTTATCTACTCTTTAACCAGGTCGTCGTTCACCATTGCTGCGTTAATTGCCAACGGTTCACAGGCCATACAAGCACCTCAGACCAGATATAGGCAAGGAATAATAATGCCTACTTCAGTGACAGGGAGCCAATCCCATGCCAGGTGCCAATCCCTGCTATGAAGCTCCAAGATTTCCCTCCCTGTTGTTGGCCCTACAGAGTAACTTGTTAGTTGTACTACCTCTGCTCAAACCATTTGCAGTACAGCAACATTTATTTATTCACCTAATGTTAATAAGGAATGATTTTTATCCTGAGCAAGGGCAGAGTACCCCAAACTGGGATCCGGGTTTAGTGTCCTCATTCCACAGCTGCTGCCTGGTGAAGCAGTGGGAGAAATCTGGCAATGTCACTTCCAGTTGTATAACTAAAATTTATGTTGATGCATTACCACCATGCACTTAGAGTTGCCAACCTCCAGGTGAGCCCTGGAGATCTCCCACTATTACAATTGATCTCCAGGTAATAGAAATGAGTTAACCTGGAGAGAATGGCTGCTTTGGAGGGTGGACTCTATTGGCATTGTACCCTGCTGAAGTCCCTCCCCTCCCCAAACCCTACCTTTCCCAGGCTCCACTCCCAAAAACTCCAGGTATTCGGTGTAGTGGTTAAGTGCGCGGACTCTAATCTGGGAGAACAGGGTTTGATTCCCCACTCCTCCACTTGCAGCTACTGGATGACCTTGAAAAAGAGCAGTTTCTGTCAGAGCTCTCTCAGCCCCACCTACCTCACAGGGTGTCTGTTGTGGGGAGGGGAAGGGAAAGGAGTTTGTAAGCTGCTCTGAGACTCCCTTGGGTAGTGAAGGGCGGGGTATAAATTCTATCTCTTCTTCTTCTTCTCCTTACCCAGAGTTGGCAGACCTGCGGGACACTCTAGCAGTGCCCCGAAGCTCTAAGGTAAAACCGTAAGTGTGGTGTATTTATTGTATATATTACAATGGAGCAGTCTGTTCTCCCCTCTGATATTTGTGTGTGTTGGTTTAGTCTTATGGGATGGAATTCCTGCTTCTTAGTTCTGTTAGAGGGGTAGACTGGATGCACTGCCTTGTGCTGAAACCATTTGCTCCCATGTTGTAACTTCTTGCTGCTAAATGGATGTTGTTTTTACCTCACCTGTCTCTGCTGTATGAACCTAACAGCAGGAACCTGAGTAGAGTTGCCAGGTCTAGATGAGATTGTGTTCGGCATAACCGATTGCAAGTTTAAAGAAAAGCTTTTAGGAAAACCTGGACTCACCCTTGAACAGGCTATGATATTTACAAAACAAAAGCTCTGAGCAGTGCCTCGGCCAGAGTTATGTCTGCAAAAGCAACACGGCATGCAATTCGGCAAAAGCCAAACTACCCCAGCTCCCTGCCTAGGGAAGGCAAATCCTCAGCAAAATGTCCACTGCAAGCAATTGCCCCGGTAAGCACAAACAAGGTTTGCAATAAATGTAGAAATGCAAGCAATCCTGGCAGAGTCCGGGCTTTGAAGCAATTTGTTACAAATGCTCCAGGAAAATTCATTTTGCAAAAGCGGTCAGGCTGAAGGGAAAAAATGGAAAGCTCAGGGTATCATCACAAATGTAACTAAGCCCACTCCTTGAGTCAGCAGCCTAGTGTGATCACACAAATGAAAAACAGATCACTGTGAATTTGCCTCAATCCACATAATCTTAATAAAGCAGTGATGAGGCAACTGGATAGACCATCCCAGTGATGTATGACATCACTTCCGGTTATGCAACCAGAAGTGATGTCACCACATGATGTGACACAGCACGACACCCAGCCCTGCCGCCCAAAACTATGAAAGATTACACAATGAGAGTTCTCGCGGAATAGGACTTTGAATTCAGGTCTCCTGAAAATGCCCTTAGACTACCTCTATCAGACCCAACAGTCCAAAACCGGACTGAGCCTCACGAGACACACCTAGTGATGTTACACTGAATAGCACTATTAATGCTGGTCCTTCCACACGCCACTAGGAATTACACCACATGGCATCCGCTACTGGTCAAAATCGTGTGGTCTTGAATAGAGAGAAGAGAGAGGATTTATACCCTGCACTTCACTTGGAGTCTCAGAGTGGCTTACGATCTCCTTTTCCCTTCCCCTCCCAACAACAGACACCCTGTGAGGTGGGTGGGGCTGAGAGAGCTCTTTCGAGGACTGCTCTTGAGAGAACAGCTCTGAGCGAACTTGTAACAGACCCAAGGACACGCCAGCAGCTGCATGTGGAGGAGCGAGGAATCAAACCTGGTTCTCCCAGGTTGGAGTCCGTGCTCCTAAGCACTACACCAAATTGGCTCTCAATAGGTAGTTTTATTTATCCACATACACACACACAAAAAGGGAAGTAACTGTGCTAAACACAAAAAATGGGAAGTAACTGTGCTAAATGTCAAATGTAGTCCAGCTACTAACAACAAAAACAAAGGAACACCCTCAAGGTATGCAAAATCGAAGTACAAAGTACAAGAAGATATATAAAAAACAGGGGTGTGTGTTGTTAAGTAAACAGAAAATACCACCTGAACACACTATATGAGGAAAATACGTTAACAAGTAAACAATTATAAACGTTGTTCAGTATACCAATAACAATGGTATAATAACAAATGTATCCACAGGAAGAAAGCTGGTACAATTGACAGAATAAATGTATAATGCATCAAAAAGGATGGGAGGGTTTTTTATGAATTAGACTTTGGTATGTTTTAACTCCTACCGCAAACTTTTTTTTGATGCATTATATGTTTATACTCAGATTATTCCCTCCCATTTAATTGTATATGTGCTTTAGTTACCACACATAGACTGTTGCCCTGGGAAGGGGCCCCAGAGGCCAAAGCCTGAGGCACAGCAACCCTACCCTTACATCACACTGAGAGCCGGCTTGGTATAGTGGCTAGGAGAACGGACCCTAAACTGGGAGAACCGGGTTTGATTCCCCACTCCTACACATGCAGCTGCTGGTGTGACCTTGGGTCAGTCACAAGTTCTCTCAGAGCTGTCCTCTCAAGAGCTGTCCTCGAAAGAGCTCTCTCGGCCGCACCTACCTCACAGTCACAGGGTGTCTGTTGTGGGGAGGGGAAGGGAAAGGAGATTATAAGGTGCTCTGAGACTCCTTCAGGTACTGAAGGGCAGGGTATAAATCCAATCTCTTCTTCTTCTCTTCCATAATGTCTGGGCCAACCATGACTGCCACCCCTGTTTATGCCACACTGTGGACCTTCCTTAGGCTTGCCAGACCCCCTCTCCCAGCTTCCATTGCCTGCCACAGGGCAATGGAATTCCTAGAGCTACCCTCCATCACTTCTGGGATTTCCCCTGGACGTGATGCAGTGGTACATGCAACATTGCAGCCCTCCATATCCCCACCCCCCAATCCTCCTGCCGGTTGCCAGGCACCTGCCCCTTACCAGACACCAGTTCCATCACGATGAGAATGGGCTGTTTCCGTGCACAGATGCCGATGATGCGGACGATATTTGGGTGGCAGTACTGCCTCAGGATCCTAGCAGAGAAGGAGCAGAAGGTGAGTGACTTGGCAAGCTAAGGTGCGTCGCTACAGGTCTGTGCTGGCCTACCTTGACTTGCTTAATGGTACTGCTCATTTAACCTATAGGTTTTGAGTAGTGCCACATTATGATCTGCATAAACCAGGCTGAATAAACAGGTGATGTGAAAGACCTCTGAACAGCAGGAGATGGGAAAGGCCTCTGAGACCCTGGAGAGCCGCTGCCAGTCTAAGTAGACAATACTGACCTTGATGGACCAAGGGTCTGATTCGGTATAAGGCCAGGAGACTAGAA